TAATTATTTACTTGCAACTGACCATTTTGTCCTTCAATTCCATCTTCCTTGCAATTTAATCCTATACCAAATTATAATATTATTCAATTATTCTGCTTTAGTCACCAAATTCTAAAGTTTTACAATTTAGTCAATAACCCGATAGTGAGGATGTTACAAAAGCGTTCACCCTACTTACTTGGGACGAAGCTCGGGTATAGAGCTTATGTCATGCAAATGCACGTGAGGTGTGTGAAGAGGAACACACAAATCTTTGGCCAAATAAAATAGCAAAAATATAAGAAAAACTTTCGAGAAAATTTTTGGTGAAGTTGAAAACATGAATTTGAACATTAGTACAACTATTTACACAAAGAAATAATGCGGAATTCAATAAAAGGATCATAAGCTAACCATAGACTCGAACTCATAATTTCCACCACTACGAAAATATATAAGCGACTTACAGTGTGACTCTCTAAAGTGTCCTCAGCGGAGTCTCTAAGCTGTCGTAATGTCTTTTTTGATAAACGAATAGGTTTTTGATGAAAACCCTAAATTACTACTTATTTAAAAATGAATTTTTGTGTTTATTTTGATTAAATTAATTTAGAGTCACAATCAACCTTTGGGTTAGGTAGGTCGAACACCTAAAAAAAATTTAAAAATACTTTTAAGACAAAAAAACTGGTTTGCGCTTATCAATGATTCATTTTAGGTTAAGTAGTTGATTACGTGTGGGGAAGGGTAAGCACCCCACCATGCCCAAATTGGTACTTAGTCGCTTATACGTTGTCGTAATAGTGCAAATTGAAATTTGAATATAAAATTAAATTATGATCCATTTATTGAACATTGATTAATTTGTTTCGAATTATTTAATAAAGAATATTCCATATTTTGAGAAGAGACCACGAGATTTGCATTCCAACTACTAGGAATGCTATCTCACCGGTTTACTTTCTATAAAAGAATGCTCCCTCTTTATTCATGGGACTAAAATAGAATAAACATAAAATAAAGCGAAAAAATTAAAGGACTAAAATTAAAGTACTGAGAAATGAAGGGCAAAAATAAAAAGACAAAATGAAAATAATGAAATAAAAAACTAACTAAAAAAGGTAAAGGGAATAAATTTAAATATGCATAAAATTAAATAACAAAAAAAGGAATAAAAATAAATTTTAGTGTTAATTTTTAATGTTTAAACCGGATCGTAAATAATGCGACTTGTTCGGGGAAAGTCGTCGCAAGGTCATACTATGGTTTGAACATAAACTAAATAAATAAATAACAAGTTAGTGGTTAGTAGTTATCGGTTAATGGTTAGATGTTAATAGAGTCCGGACCATAATAATGTGGGTCATATCCTGAGTTGGGTCACCACAAGGTCGATTTGAATAATAGCAATAAAAAGATAAATATAACAATGGTTAAAATGCAAGAAAATAAAAGTTAGTGACTGATTTGAAAGAAAACAAGTATAAATAAGTAACCAAATTAAAAATTAGTAAAATCAGCAAGTTAATTTGAAATAAATAGAAAAGCATAATAATGACTAAATTGAAAACATACGAAATATATGCCAAGACCAAAATAAATGAAATGTAAACAATTGACTAAATTAAAATAAACATAAAAATAGGACACCATAATCAAATAATAAAATAAATGAGGAAATGGTGGCTAAATTAAAATAAATGAAAAAAAAGGGTGTCAGAAATAAAATAACATAAAACGTAGAAATGACAAATATATAAACAAATAAAATTAGCATATCAAAATTAAAATTAAATAAAATGCAAGTAAGTGACCTATATAGAACAAAACAAAAACTGCAGCTTAAATCGAAACAAATAAATAAAAGATGAAATTAGTGACCAAAATAGAAATATGCTGCTAAATATAAGGGACTTGAACGTGATTTACCAACATTTAATATAACACCTATATTTTTTACTAATAAAAAAACCCTAAAATTACACCTAGACTAAACGAGCTTCACCTTCCCCAACCCTTATCACCATGCGGCGTAAAGCTTTCCAACTCCAAGGGTAAAAACGATCCGACCACCGAGTTTGGGTGGCCGCTAAGCTCCTGTCGGCCTTTCATCCGGCCACAAAACCTTCCTAGAAGACCTAGAATGCTTCCTCTCCTCTCAAAACACATAACCCGAAAACCCAAAAGCCATGGCCACCACCTGCTCACCGTAAATTAGCGCTGCCACGAGACTCCAACCACCCCGACGGTGGTCGGATTAACCACGACCGATGCTTGAACCATTCAAACCCCTTTCTCCTCTCACCTAAAACCCCAAAACTGGGACTTAAAAGCCTAAACCAACCCCCTCTTTGGTCGACTACTCAATACCCGATGTCCTCGAGGTAAACGCTTTCTCTCCCTTTAATTTCTATCCGAAAAAAGACTAAGAAAGAAAGAAAGTTGCTGAAAAAGAATCAACCTTTGGATTTGTTGTTGTTGTTGTTGTATTGATTTCTTGAAAAAAAATGGGGAGAGGATCCCCTTTTACAATATGATTTGGGGTTTTTATAACCACTTTTTTCATTCATACTTAAACATTGTACCAGCAACAACACGCAGTGTATACTGATAACAATGGTGCACACGGTACCATTATGGGCACAATTTCTTACAACAACGGGCACAGCTAAACCAAACAGGGACATAACAGAAGGTCCCATTATTCAAATACACATATTTAACAATAAAAGCTCGCTGTCCGTCGTCTCGGAGCTCATTAGCAATCGTACATGGACCAGCAAAAGCCCGCAAGGCATCCGCAAGGCTGACAACAACCCGCTAGGTCGAACAAACACCACCCGCCTTTATTGATGCAGTTGCCAGTTCGGTTAACATCCAAAACCTTGGCCAAATAGTTTCCGGGGTTCTTCGCTGCATCGTCGGCTAATGACATAAGCTCGTTACGAGCAGCGAATGCCGTCGGAGGAGGCACCATGGCTTGAAGGACCAATGCCACGGCGACGAAGAGAAGAGCGAGCTTCTTGTAGGACTCCATTTTGTAGTAGCAAGTTAAATTGATCGCTTGTATATGTTTTGTGTGTGAAATGTTTGTAGGTGGTGTCTCTTTATATAGGAAAGACAAACATCGTTAAAAATATTATGTTGTCCTATTTTATATATGTTCGAATTGATGTATTTACCTTTCTAGATCACAAGAATAAAGTAGGGATCTATTAATTGATCAAGTGACTAGGAATATGTTTATATTTCTTATTTTATATAAATTCCAAACTTTAATATTTACCTAAAAATATAATTGTCGAAACGATTTTTTTCTTTGAATTTTTTTAATAAAACACATTTTTTAATCATATTTTGGTTATTTTTTAATAAAAAGGTAATGTGATTTAAAAAATCTCTCGCTTCAAAAAGTTTGAGATTCCCTTTAAATAAAATAAAATACGTATGGTTCAAGGAGTCACCACCAATATTTGATTAGGGTGTGATTGAGCACCTAAAAACGTATTTTATCATTTTAATTAAAAAATATATTAATTAAAACGACGAATTTGCAATCTGCGTACTAGAAAAATGAGTTCGGGAGTCAGTTACGTGTAGGGAAGGATTAGCACCCCCACAACGCCCTAAATCGGTACCTAGTCGATTAATTAATTATCTTTGCAATGAAACTAATAAGTTCGAATTTAATTTAATTTATGATCCCATTAAACAAAAAACTTGAATGTTAGAACGAAAATGAGTACTGTTTAATTATTTCTTATCGAGAAAAATCGACCTCTCATACCTTGAGACAATTGATTCTTACTCCAATCGAAATAAAGAAATATTAATGTTTCATTGCAATATTCAAATGCACGAAATTAAACAAATTAAATTAAAAATTACCAAGCATTATAGAAAGAAGAAGAATATTCTATTATTTAAAGACATCAATATCAGACCTTAGATAAGTTCTAACAATCTTTTCTCGAAGAATTTAAATGAACGAACATTTCTTGTTCTCTTATTCCTAATTTTTAGGCGTGGAATCATTTTTTTTTTGGGTTTCACTGTTGGGATACGTTTTCAGTTTAAAATCATCGAAAACAACTTTCTAATATGTTAAAACAATCACCTTACAATGACAACGATTTTAAAAAAGGGTATTACCCTTAATCCAATTATTTGATATGGATCAAGTTATGCACATGGAGGTATCATACTTAGAATACATAAATGATGCATGTGTTTCGTAAATAAATCATTCGCATACTTATACATATGTAAACATATCAACATGCAAAACGAATATATACAACTAATTAAATAAGGAAATTACCTAATTAGGGATTAAATTAAATTGAATAGAAATTGAATAACTAAATTAAAATGAATTAGAAACATATTAATTAATCAAATGCAGAAATGTGCTAAAATTAAGAGGATCAAAGCATAAAGTTTTCAAGTATTTAATTCAAATAAATGTTAATAAAAAGAAAAGGGAAATTTACTCATTCAACACCTGAAATTCGAAACTAAGAACAAAAAGACTGATTGGTGGCTACTTTGCAAAAACACGAAAACACTAAAGAGACTAAAACACAATTTCCTATTTTTTGATAATTATAATTACCAAGAAAGTAAAAAAAATGAAAAATAACACAAATAGGTATTGCAATCTAAGAGAAATTCAAAATTAAAACCAACCAGTGACTTAAATGTAAATAAACGCTAAACCTAGGGGACTAAAATATATTTTACCCTAAAGTTTTGATGATTAGAAGTAAATACACGGCAAGAGTTTGAGGGCCTAAACGATATTATCCCTACATCTCTAAGCAGATTATAGAACAAATAATAAAATGAAACGTCATGCAATTAGGACGCAATATTTTGAAATAAAACAAACAAGCACAAGACTGGGGAGCATTTTGTAAAAACACGGATGCTTTAGGAGGGTTTAAGAGAAAATATCCCTAAAAGTTATGCTATATAATATACCCTCTTTTTGTTTGTCATTTTAAACCTACACTCTAAAAAACAACCCCAAATGCTCTCTCCCAACTCCCCTTTATTCCCAGATTCCGGCGATGAACACCATACCAGTCGTCGTCAACTACCGCACCAACTACCGTCTCCGGTGGCCGTCGAAGCCCAAAATACACCGACAAGTTCATATCGATGCTAGGAGTGCAGATTGGTCTCCGACTCGCGAGAAACAACCTCTAACACCGTGTAAATGGGTGAGAGCTCTTCGACTTCAACCTCGCCTATCTGACTTTTTCATTATCAGATTGAGCCAATATCGGAGTATGTTACACCCCTCACCATCGGGCTTCATCTCACCGTTCGGATTCATCGTCATAATCCCTGAGAACCGATGAGACTTTGGTCGAATGGTAATCTCTCTTTTTTCTTTTTATTTCGTTTTTCCCTTTATTGCTTGGCTTTTTCTTGGCTTGTTATTTCGAAAGAAAATTAAAAAAAAAAAAAGGAAAAATGCTTGCTGCCTTCGAATAAAAAATGAAAGAGAAATGTGTTGTATTGCTCCATAGAAAAATCGGGGAAACCCCCTTTATTACATTGCTTGTGAATCAAAAATGGGAATGGGGAACCCTTGTTTTCTACCCCTTTCGAATAGAGAGGGTAAGAAGCCTTTTTTACAAACTGATTTTCAAGAGAATCCCCCACTTACCAGCTCGATGTTCCCCCTTAAATGAAAAAAAAAATCCCATCTTTTATTTACAATCCAATCCAAAAACAGAATAAGATTATTATTCTTCTATTTCATTGGTTTGTTATTGGTTGCTATCGTGGAGGCTTTCATCGTTGCAAGGAGAGCTGGAAATGCTAAGGGGAACCACAGCTGGGTTCTCACGAGCGACCTGCTGCTGTGTGGGCATCACGATGGGGACTACCATCTAGGACCACTAGAGTGACATGACTGTTGGAGTGTCTTTGGTTGGAGGTGAAGCATTGTAGGTGACGGAACTATGATGGTTACCTCCCTGGTGTTTCAGAAAACCCTAAACTGCTTGGGCCACCTGATTTCACTTGTAAATTGGTCCATTTCTTCTTGCACTGCCTTGTAATGTAGTTGGGTCTTTGTACCATGGTTTGGGCTTCATAAATGTGAACCTTGTACAAACATATGTAATATAAGTTAGTGGTTATATTTAATTTCCGTTCCTCGTATATATAAATATATAGGGTAAAATACCCTAAAACCAAAATAGATCAAAACTAAATAAAACAGAAAATAAAATAAAATAAATAAAAGAAAAATCCTCAGACGGAAACAAGTGTTTACAATAATACTTCTTAATTTAATTGGAAAGAAAAAAAAGATTAGAGAAATATATGAGTTAAAAGAAAGTTTATTATCCTTTGCCCAAAAACGTATGCCGGAGTTTTTGAATAAAAATAATGGTCATATAAATATAAAATAAAACGCAAAAATTAAAGGACTAAAATTAAAGTATTAAGAAATGAAGGGAAAAAATAAAAGACAAAAAAAGAAAATAATGAAATAAAAAAAACTAACTAAATAAAAGGTAAAGGCCATAAATTTAAATATGTATAAAATTAAATAACAATAAAAATAAAATGTTAGTGTTAATTTGTAATGTTTAAATCGGACCGTAAATAATGCAAGTTGTACTCGGGGCCGGTCGTCACAATGTCATACTATGGTTCGAACATAAAATAAATAAATAAATAAATAAATAACAAGTTAGCGATTAGTAGTTATCAGTTAGTGGTTAGATGTTAATAGAGTTCAGACCATAATAATGTGGATCGTACCCTGGGTTGAGTCACCACAAGATCGATTCAAATAATATCTATAAAAAGATAAATATAACAATGGTTAAAATGCAAGAAAATAAAAGTTAGTGACTGATTTGAAATAAAACAAGCATAAATAAGTAACCAAATTAAAAATTAGTAAAATCAACAAGATTTAATAAAATAAATAGAAAAGCATAATAATGACTAAATTGAAAACACACGAAAAAATATGCCAAGACCAAAATAAATGAAATGTAAACAAATGAATAAATTAAAATAAACGTAAAAACATGACACCATAATCAAATAATAAAATAAATAAGAAAATGGTAGCTAAATTAAAATAAATGCAAATAGGGTGTCGGAAATAAAATAAAATAAAACGTAGAAATGAACAAAATATAAACAAACAAAATTAGCATATCAAAATTAAAATTAAATAAAAAGCAATCAAGTGAGCAAAATAAAATAAAATACAATCAAGCAGCTTAAATCGAAACAAATAAATAAAAGATGATATTAGTGACCAAAATAGAAATATGCGGCTAAATATGAGGTACTTGGACGTGAGTTACCCACATTTTAATATAACACATATTTTTACTAATAAAAACCCCCTAAAATTACACCTAAACTAAACGAGCTTCACCTTCCCCAACCCCTCTCACCATGTGGTGCAAAGCTTTCCAACTCTAAGGGCAAAAACGATCCGACCATAGAGCTTGGGTGACTACTAAGCTCCGGTCGGCCTTTCATCCGGCCGAGGGAGACCACACAACCTTCCTAGGAGACCTAGAATGCTTCCTCTCTTCTCAAAACACATAATCCGAAAAACCCAAAAGCCATGGCCACCACCTGCTCACCGTAAATCAGCGCTGCCACGAGACTCCAACCACCCCGACAGTGGTCGGATTAACCACGACCGAGGCTTGAACCATTCGAACCCCTTTCTCATCTCACCTAAACCCCAAAATCGGGGCCTAGAAGCCTAAACCAACCCCCTCTTTGGTAGACTCCTCAATACCTGACGACCTCGAGGTAAACGTTTTCTATCCATTTAGTTTCTACCCGAAAAAAGACTAAGAAAGAAAGAAAGTTGCTGAAAAATATTCAACCTTTGGAATTTTTTTTGATGTTATATTGATTTCTTGAAAAAGAAATATGGAGAGGATCCCCTTTTACAATATGATTTGGGGTTTTTATAACTCGTTTTTACATGACAATAAAAAATTTATTGCTTTCTTGTTTGGTGACCTGCTGAGCATGGGTGAGGCTTGGTGGTGGTGTGGGGCATGGGCAGCATGGTGCAGTTGATGGCAACAACAGTAGGGGATAGTGTTGTTGTGTTGGTAGGACAAAAAATGGTGATTACAATAGTTTCACCTAAGTTTTATTTATTTTAAAAAAAATATAATAATATAGGTTGGCCTGATGATTTATTAGCATGGAATGTGATTAGTATATACATATAATTAGGGATGAAATTGAAATGTTGAAAAGTTTATGATTAATTTAAAATGAAGGATATAGTTTGGGTATGAAACTAAAGTGTTCAAAAGTTTGAGGCAAATTAAGAATGAGATTCATAGTTTAGGGATGAAATTGAAATATTTAAAGTTTAGGGGTCAATTTAGAAAGAGAATCATAGTTTAAGGATATATGATGTAATTAACTCTTTTATCAATGATGATATTGTGATTATTGCACTAAATTCTGATCACACTTTAATTTTGGTCATCAAACTATAAAAAGTTGGGGTGTTCAAAGTTCCGTTAAAACTGATTTAATTGATCAAACCGAATTTTTTTGGGTTAATCTGTTTAATTTTAGATTCGGTCGGTTAACGGTTAATGATTTTTCAAACTTCGGTTATTAATTATTTCGGTTCAAAATCGGTTGGTTAACCTAATTAACCTAAATTATAGAAAATTAAATATATTATATATATTATTTATATATTAGAGTGTTTAAACTTTGGTTTTAAACTAATAAGCCAAAAATATAAAATATTTAATATATTGTATATATATATATAAATTTCGGTTAATTCGATTAACTGAACTTTGTTCGATTCAGTTAATTATTTTCGAGTGGTTCAATTAACGATTAAAGGAAAATTTTTGGTTAATGAAATTTTACAAGTTCGGTTGGATCAGTTAACCAAACCGACCGATTGAACACCCTTACTAAAAAGTTATGATTATAACACTAAACTTTTTTAATTAATTTTTTAATCATATCATGATGATTACTTTCTAAAAATCATTAACCTTTACTTGACTGTCATTTGTCGTTAATAATTGTTTATGATAAACTAGTGTCAAAATGTTCCTATTTCTCATAATTTTTTTTACTGTCATTGATTTTTTAAACCCTATTTAAAAAATCAAGTAAAAGCTTCGACCATTTCTCGGTCTTTATTAATTAGTGTTCTTCTTCTTACCATTAGATTTTTTAAGATATATATCGCAAACCCCTCAAAGCTGAAGAAGATCCAAAATCTCTAAGAAACCATCAGGTTTTATGCAGAAGCTTTTGTGAGTTTTAAAACAGTTGAGTGACTAAAAAATGTTTTCAAAATATTTAATGTTATAATTATAATTTTGTTATAGTTTAGTGCTATAAATCATGGTTAATACATATTCAAACATGCTTATATATTATTGCCATTCATACTTAAACATTGTACCAGCAACAACAAGCAGTGTATACTGATAACAATGGTGCACACGGTACCATTACAGGCACACATTCTTACAACAATGGACACATAGCTAAACCAAACGGACACAACAGAAGGTCCCATTATTCAAATACACATATTTAATAATAAAAGCTCGCTGTCCTTCGTCTCGGAGCTCATTAGCAATCGTCGATGGCCCAGCAAAAGCCCGCAAGGCATCCGCAAGGCTTACAACAACCCATAAGGTCGAACAAACACCACCCGCCTTTATGGAGGCAGTTGCCAGGTGGGTTAACATCCAAAACCATGGCCAAATAGTTTCCGGGGGTTCTTTGCTGCATCGTCGGCTAATGACATAAGCTCGTTACGAGCAGCGAATGCCGTCGGAGGAGACACCGTGGCTTGAAGGACCAATGCCACGGCGACGACGAGAAGAGCGAGCTTCTTGTAGGACTCCATTTTGTAGTAGCAAGTTAAATTGATCGCTTGCATATGTTTTGTGTGTGTGAAATGTTTGTAGGTGGTGTCTCTTTATATAGGAAAGATGATAGTGGTAATTTAATGGCACTAATGGCACTCAATGAATAGAGAAACCAATTTAATAATAATAATTTGAATGTTGAAATAGTTTGTGTCGTGGGACACGTGCGTGAGAATGAAAATTGGGATCCTTGATCATGGTGGTGGTTTGGGTATCCATATTATGGTTTGGAAGTGGACATGAATTGAGTTAAACTCGATTATGAGTACCATTGGAGAAGAAAGGGTAACTTATGTTCAAATGGTGGATAAAGATATTTTGAGTTACAGTACCTTTCCAGACAATAATAGAGTAGGGATAACATAATCGATCCAACGGTTAAAAATATGTAAATAGGTTCATCGTGACAGTAAAAAGGAAAAATAATGCCCAAACTAAAATTAAGAAAGACCATACGGTAATAACATCATACAATATCAAATACAAAAATTGACAAAAGTCTCCCGTGATTTATCTCATAAACGTATCGAAATAACATAAAGACTAATATCGTTAAAAATATTATGTTGTCCTATTTTATATAGGTTCGAATTGATGTATTTACCTTTCTAGATCATAAGAATAGAGCAGGGATCTATTAATTGATCAAGTGACTAAGAATATGTTTATATTGTCTTATTTTATATAAATTCGAAACTTCAATATATACCTAAAAATATAATAGTTCTTAATTTAATTGGAAAAAAGAAAGACTAGAGAAATATATGAGATAAAAGAAAGTTTATTATCCTTTGTCCAAAAACGTATGCCGGAGTTTTCGAATAAGAATAATGGTAAGATAGAAAGAAGGGTAAACTATGAGTTTAGTATTTAAATTATCACTTTTAGCTTGTTTTAGTATATAAACTTTTAATTTTTTTCAAAATCATACCTAATGTTTAGTTTTTGTTTCATTTTTGTACCCGTTAAAAACTTTACATTAAGTTTTGAAATTTTTAAATGTTTAGGTACTAAACGGATCAAAACTGATAGTTTAGGTACTAAAGGTGTTAAGTTTTTAACAGAGGGTACTAAAATGAAACAAAAATTAAACATTAAATATGGTTTTAAAAAATTGAAAGTTTAGATATTAAAACGGATTAAAATTGATAATTTAAATGCTAAAGGTGTAATTTATCCTAAAAATAAGGGGGTTATTGATTATGGAATTATAATTTGGTATGAAATTGATTATTTAAT